CTAGCTCCGTCCACAACTTCACAGTCCACAACCATGAAACAATCTGCTCCTGGGAACTGCCAAATTATCAATAAGGAATAAAGTATTTTCTTATGAAATATATGCTTTATGTTTTATTTGCGGACTGTGTAAATCATATTTTGTATATGGAATTGTTATGATATGTAAGTGAAAATATACTCTTTATATATAGGTAACAACTATATGTAACATGTAATAAAATATTCTCTTGTTCGGTAGTCCAATGTTGAGTATTTCCTCATGTTTTATTCTACTTATCTCACGACTAAATTTGGAGACAATCAAAAATGGAAAAGAGTTGAAAATGGGTCGAAACCCCATTTCCAGAACTTAAGTTATGTTTATGGGATTTTTACCCTTCGCGAATGCGGTCAGTGCCTCGCGTTCGCGAAGCACAAATTTGTGCTGTCCAATTTTACTCTTCGCAAACGCGCGATCTCCCTCGCGAACGCGATGCTTTCCTGGCTTGGCCTTTACGAACGCGAGATGCCCTTCGCGAACGCGAAGGCTAATTTTCCTGGCCAACCTCTTTCCCTTCGTGAACACGAGGCTTCGACCGCGAACACGAAGCTTCCCGCCTCAAGCCTTAGCAAACGTGCCCCCCCTCTTCGCAAACGCAAAGAGTAATTTTCATCTGCCTCTAATTTCTTCTTCGCGAACGCGAGCCCCCTCTCGCGAACGCGAAGAAGGATACTAGAAGCAGATTTCTGCAATTTTTCTTAAGTCCAAAAATGACCCGTTAACCACCCGAAACCAACCCGATCCCTCGGGGCTCCAAACCAAACATGTACCCAAGTCCTAAAACATCATACGAACTTGCTCGCGCGATCAAATCGCCAAAATAACACCAAGAACTACGAATCGGACACCAAATTAAAGGAAATTTCCAAGAAAACTTTAAAACTTATATTTTTACAACCGGACGTCCGAATCACGCCAAATCAACTCCGATTCTCACCAAATTTGGCAGACCAGTCATAAATATTATAGTGGACCTACACCGGGCTCCGAAACCAAAATACAGACCCGAGGTCAATAAATCCAACATCAGTAATTTCTTAAAAATCATTAAGCTTTCAAGCTTTTAATTTTTCTTCAAAATTCCATATCTCGAGCTAGGGACCTCGTAATTCGATTCCGGGCATACGCCCAAGTCTCAAATCACGATACGGACCTACCGGAATTGTCAAAACACTGATCCGGGTCCGTTTGCTCAAAATATTGACCAAAGTCAACTCAATTGAGTTTTTAAAGCTCTATTTCACATTTTAATCCATTTTTCACATAAAAACTTTTAGGAAAATTTTACGGACTGCGCACGTATATAGCCTCGTCATGGAGAAACAGAAGCGGCCCACGCGTCATAGAAGCGGGAAAGGGGGAAGGGGCAGCCTTGCGCAGAAGCGGACTCCTCTTCGCAGAAGCAAGTCCGCAGATGCGAAAATTTCATCCTCAGATGCGAAAAAGACTAGGCAGAGCCCTTAAATTCAGAAGTCGCCATTTTTACTCATTTTTAGCTTGGTAAGGAAAAGTTTTGGGCGATTTTCATGGAAATAATTAGGGTAAGTGTTCCTCATCCTATATTGATTATATTTCATGATTCCATACTCATTTATATCATGAATCCGTAAATTTATGAAAGAAAAATTAGATTTTTATAAAAATTTTAAAAAATAAAAATTTAAGATTTGAAGGTCCATTTAGCATCAGAATACCGACGACATGAGTATGTGCTCCTCCCCCGACCTGAGATGTGGCAGGAGCAAGAGGTATCAATCCTGCATGAGCCATGGTGCTGAACATGCTCAGAAACTAGGCTAGAGTTTCCTGTAGACCTGGTGTAGTAATGGACGTCTCAGGTGTATGCTCTCCAAGATACTGGTGGCTCCTCTGTAGCAGCTCGTGCGGGGGCTCTGGTTGCACCACGTGGACATCCTTGGCCTCTACCCCGGTCGCGGCCTCTCGCGGCTCTAGCATGGGGTGTGGGTGTCTGATCATCCAATCCAGCTGTACATGTCCTTACAATTTATGAGAGAATAGAAAGAGAGAATTTTAGAGTCCGAAGTCAAAATCTCGCACGAGAAGGAATCAAAGAAAGTGAAACTTTTTCTAACAGTTCCATAGCCTCCCGAAGATAAGTACAGACGTCTCCGTACCGATCCGCGAGATCTACCAAACCTGCTTGTGACTCATAACACCTATGAACCTAGTGCTCTGATACCAATTTTTCACGACCCCAATTCACCCTCCGTAGGATTTTGTGATGGCACCTAGTCTCTAATACTAGGTAAGCCGAACAATTTGCGGAATACCATTATATAAAACTGAAGTCCAATTCTCAACACATGAAATAAATATAAAACTGCAAATCAATAATTACAACTCCTAATACCCGGTGGAAATGAGTCACAACCTTCTAAGAGTAAATACTAAGTGTCCTTATACATCAATTTCTTTAACATCAAAGTCTAAAGAAAAATAAGGAAAACAACATAGTAAGGATAGAGAAGAACTCGGAGGTCTGCAGATGCTGGCAGATATAACTTGAAGTCTCCACGTGCGGTCCAACTCAGTGGTATCTGGTATGGTGGGAAGAACCTGGATCTGCAAAAAAAAATGTGCAGAAGTATAGTATGAGTACACCACAACGGTACCCAGTAAATGCCAAGCCTAACCTAGGTAGAGTATTGACGAGGTCAGGTTAGGGCCCTACTGGTTTAAAAGAAAAGTAAGGCAGAGTGCATGACTCTTGAATTTTATAACTTATTTAGGACAAAATATACCAAGTTTTAATGTTAAAATAAGTAGAGGTGTATCACAGTCTCAGTTACAATCGGTACTTATAGAATCACCACTCATATGGAATTTTGTGTAGAAAAGTATTGTCATAACTTACGAACAGTAATCTTTTGATTTTGTCCTTCCTTCTGTTATCTTGTGTCTTTTCCTCATGACAGACAGGAAATTATGTGTGGCTTAGGAACTAAGGGCTTCGAGTCAGATTTATCCTTTAAATTTCTGTTCACAATACACTTGTATCTTTCTTATTGTCTTTCTATGCAGTAATCTTTTGATTTTGTCCTTCCTTCTGTTATCTTGTGTCTTTTCCTCATGACAGACAGGAAAATCAAAGCATTTTGGCTTCATAGAATTTGAGTCCCCTGAGGTTGTTCCTATTCCTGAGCAATTTATCCGTATTTACAGAATCCCAGAATCCATCCGGACATTTTCTTTCTATTATCTTATCTTGTTTTTTTGGGACAATTGCAGGTTGCTAAAGTGGTTGCGGATACTATGCATAACTATCTATTGTTTGAGCACTTGTTGCAAGTTCGTCTTATTCCTCCTGAACATGTTCATCCCAGATTGTAAGAGTTTCATTTTTTTAAATGAATTGTTATGGATTAAATTCATCTTGTAATTTCATATTTTTTGGATCGCTAAGTGGAAGAGCTCTTCAACGCTCTTTTCTTTTCCTTTGTTCTTTCTTTTTTGTTTTCTTTTCGGGCGAGGGGGGGAGTTGGTGCCTAAAACAATATTAGGCGACTAGTCTTCCATTTCTAATCTTGTCATTCTTATTAAATTGAATCTGCTACTACGTGTCCTTGCTTAGGGAGGGTAATGGCTTGCAAAAGACTTGTTAAAAAGAAATGACGTAATGAATATGAGACTTGTTAATCATTATTTAAATAATTTTAAAGTCATAATATATTTATATATGATGTTTGGATAGAAAATATGAAGTTTGGGAAAGATCAGATTAAAGTTGCGGATAAACCGACTAAGGAATTGCCTTGTAACAGAGCTTTTTGAGAAATATATTTCGTGTAATATATGAGGTATTTTTGGGATATATTATATTCCAAATTTAAGGTCTTGGAATGTAGTTTCCAATGCTCTTAACCGTTCGTTCATACGACACCCGTAAGAAGGACGAATGCTAGGGTGCCAAGTAGCGCCTTTTGACTTTTCAAACAAAATGGATATTTATATCCTTATCTCGTTTCTTTCTTCAATTTTCCGGAACGCACAACCAAATAAGGCCCCTAAATTTACTCTTAAGATCTCTTCAAGACCTTCAAACAAGATTATCATCCCGAGCACTGAATCAAGAAACGATAACATTAAAACGATCCATACGACGCAAGTATCGCTCTATCGCCTCTATTTTTCTTTGTAGTTTGAATTTAGGAAGGTACTTCATAGTTAATAAAATATGTACTTTCTTTATTTAAGTGTTTAAATATCAAGGAAGGTTGATAAATTCATTTTCTAATAGTTAGAACTCACGGGACGGTGATCGGAAGCCGTCAGTTCGAGTTATTCACTTATAGCGGACTGCTTTGTGGATTGTTTTGTATTGCTGTTGGCTTGTAGATAGATGACATGTATATGGATACTTGTATGGCCTTATCGGCCTATGTCTTGAGTATACAAATGATTATGTCGGCCTTATAGGCTTGTATGTCACATGTATAAGTTTCTATATCATGTTGGGTTGTCCTATGTCTAGTATTCCCTTATGTTTTATTCTAGTTATCTCATGACGGCCTTTCCGGTTCATTTACCCATGATAGTATGATAAGAATGATACGTTACGTTGGTACTCGATGGAGTTAGGCATCGGGTGCCCGTCGTGGCCCAACGATTTGGGTCGTGACAGAAGTGGTATCAGAGCAGTTCTATCCTAGGGAGTCTACAAGCCGTGTAGAGTCTTATTTATGGGTGTGTTGTGCACAATACTTATAAGCAGGAGGCTACAAAGCATTTAGGATTGTCACTCTTTCTTCTTACTCTAGATCGTGTGGTAGAGCTTAGTTGTAAGAAATTCAAATTCCTAAATTCTATTTTATTCATTATACAATGACATCTATATCCAGAAAGATAGTTGGTAAGAGATTGAATGCGGTTGTGGAAGAGTTGAGTCAGAGGAACACGATTTTGCGTCATTCTTATGATGAATAAATGTAAGGCCTTCAGTAGATATGTGTGTACTACGCCGTGTGAGCCTCTTGATAAGGAGCCCTAAGATATGAATATCTATCTACCCCTATAGTAAAAAGAAAAGAGAGGATCAGAAGGTAGATACAAGTTTCAACAAGTAAAAGAAGCTAGGTGAAGAAGTATACGAGGTACCTAGTTAGTGAAAATTATCTGTATTTACAATTCAGGCAGAGAAATACAAGCATTCTAAGTTACTTTCAACAATAACAAAGATATATTCACTTGACAACACTCATTTCTGTTATGCCCTGTGGGAGCTAACATATATAAATTAAGAGAAGGATGGGATATTAACATCCAGCTGGGGTTAGAGTAACGCAAATTTGTGGATGAATTGTTTTCATTAGCTCACATTTCCGAGGGATTTTGCAAACATGGTAATGGTTCTCCTTGTGAGACACCCAGATGGTGCACTCTAGAATAGTACAATCAGATATGAATACTAGAATATTTAAAAATTTTAGAAGATTGTCATTGGAATAAATGTTAGTACTCCCCTAAAGGGGGAAGATGGTGTGATATGGTATTAAGTCCGAGTTATGTGATTAAGGTAACTATGGAATAGTAAAGGAAGAATGTGGTAAAAAGGCGAAAGGAATGAGATTGTATTTATTCAGATCCTACGGATATGATACGACTCCAGAACATTATGTAAGCATGACGACGGGGAGAGGCAGTAAGGGTTCCATCACTAGATGTTATTGATAAATAAGTGCAAATGAACACTGGATACATAAGGAGCCAGTGTGCGGGGTAAGTTACAGCAAAGGATATAACCCAAGAGAGATTACGCAGAATATAGATATGAGAATGGACTAACGTATAGTTAGTAGTTGATTCAGGAAGAGCCTAGCCATGGCTAAACAAGAGGATACAGACAAATCAGCAAGTTGTGCAAGATAAACACAGTGAAACCCAACATAGGGAATTATGTCCCGCAAATATGATGACATTGTAATCCTTGAGAAATATTCAGATAGGAGTTGGGGTTGTTAAAGGTACCGTATAAGTATTACAAAAATTAACAAAACGGTGCCACTAAGAAGACAGCCAAAAATTTCAATTCAGAATCTACCTTACGAGCACAAGGGCACGGAGGTAAGTAATTAAGAATAATTATAGGTGAGTAAGAACATCAAAAAATTCTTTCGGTTATACGATGTAATAACCTCGTAGATTTATAGGAGTCAAAGGGTCTCTCTTAATACTACAAAAAAAGACTAGGTGAGGGAATAGGGAAGAATGCTTCAACTTAAGCATAGTGACATAAGGAAGAAATGGTCTTGTAACAACAGTCTCACAACAATATTGTATGCACTCCATTAGAAAGTGGCACGTATTGTGGCTAATGAACGGAAAAAAAAATTAAAAGATGATATTTGAGATCATATGAGTTACAGAAAATTTCAATATTTGTGGGCAATGAGATAAGTCATGTATTCATGCAATAAGTGATAGAACGACTATGAAAAGTAGTTGCTTATGTTTAATTACAACTAAGAAAGCACGAGAAGAATTATCCGACCTATTTAGAGTAAGGAATGCCCGTATATATATATANTGTCTATATTTTAATGATTTTACAAATACCGACTGTTTTTTAATTATCGACCCGAAAAATGACTACCCTGTTTTGACGATGTATATGATGTTGAATCGGATACGTCTTTATTAAGAGGCCGGAGGGTGGGGAAAATTAGTGAGAGGGAAAAGACCACACTTGTTAGACAACAGATACGTGAGCGCTGACGCTATACAAATGCAACTCCGCCTCTGATCACCCTATCACATAGGACTACTATATAACAAGAACACACCTCAAAGCCATCAAATTATACATACCTCCCTATGACTCAAAAGACATCAATTGTCAACTACACACGGCGAATTTAATAATACTATACTGTTTGTATGCCGCTTTGTCTAACATGAAAGAAATTACAAATTTATTGAGTAGGAACTTCTGTCTTTTATTTAAGGATTAAATTGGTGATAATTTCCGAGAGTCGAAGCATTTTTTATTACTCTGTGACATTCCTGGGTATCCTAAGCGCACGCAGCGTATTTGTTTTTTCACTTCCTACATTTAAACTGTTGGCCAGTTTATATTTTCTATTTTATTTTTTTGGGTCATTGGCTCGGTGTACGGTTGTTTAAATGCTTTTTGGATCTCGCATCTGAATTTCTTATCATATTATGCTGAGTAGATTCTCTCTGTTTGTTAATGAAGTGAGACTTGTAATAGGTCCGTTATACTATTTAGAACTTGTTTGTAAAATTTGGTATCATTTGGAGTTGATTTGATAGGATTCAGATGTTTAGTTGTAATTCTAGAGATTCTTGAACTTTACATTGAAATTCATGTATTTTAGTGTTAGATTCGTTATTTTAGATGTTATTTTTATATTTTGATCGCGCGAGCAAATTCGTATGATATTTTTAGACTTGTTTAGATATTTGGTTTGGAGCTCCGAAGGCTCAGATGAGTTTCAGACATGTTTCGGAATGGATTGAATTGAAATTGAACTGCTGGTGTTGCTGGTGCCCAATTATCGCAATTGCGAAGGTGACAGTGGGGGCACAGATGTCGCAATTGCGACTTCCCCTTCGCATTTGCGAAGGCAGCAGGATTTTGGCTTGGTTCGCATTTGCGAACCTTTGTTCTCTTTTGCGAAGTTCCCGGCTTCGCAATTGTGAAGCCTTTTGTCGTAATTGCATGATGAATGAGGATGTCAGTGTTCGCAATCGCAAATGCGACAACTGCAACTGGTACAAAGGGCTAAGAGAATAGGTGGAATTACCTCATTTAATCCCATTAGAAACTTAATTAACCTCCTATCCTACTCAGCCTTATACATACTCGCCTTGGCATCGCATGTACATTGCATTTGTATTAAGCATGGGCATTCAAGGTATTCAACTCTTCCCACAACTTCTTCATCTTAGTATAGTATCCAGTAATGTCGAATGTTCCTTGACTCAAATCACTGATTTTCTTCTGTAACTGATATAATTTTTCCCCATTGGTTTGATCATATCTGTCCTCCAACTCTTGCCAAAGCTCTTTGGCATCGTTTACATACTACAGGCTGTCTGCTAAATCCTTTGATAGGGAATTCAAAATCCATGAAGTCACTACATTATCACACTGTTCCCATTGATAAAAAATAGGGTCCTTTAAGTATGGTTTCCCACACTTACCATTTATGAAACCTACTTTGTTTTTCACAGAAAGAGCCCTAAGTACTCCTCGCCTTCATGACCTGTACCCCGATCCATCAAAAGCTACTGCACAATCATGGAACCTGCATTTTCATATGGATGCATGTAAAGCGGATTGGCTTGAGGGAATAGGTATTGTGTGAGTAATTGCTACGTGTTTTGTTGTTGAATACGATGTATAGTTGAGGTGACGAGCATCTATGCGTTGTGGTCGAGTCATAGCATGCGAGTGAAATTCTATTCTTGCAAA